CAAATACAGATATTGCACATGAGGCTTATCATATAGTAGAAAGGAAAGCATTATACAAGCCCACTGTTAATTTAGCTATGTGAATATGAGCAATCGTTTTTTAAATGTGCTCCTTTTTCTCTTTTCTTACAGTCCTTGTAACATGTTCAAAAGAATAAGCATTATTTTGAAAACTTTCCACACTATTTATAATTTTTATTATATTTTGATCAACTATATACTGTAGAAACATGCTATCACTGATGTTAAAGTTAGCATGTATGAAAAGAGAAGCAATTGCCCATACAAATTGTCTGCAAGTCTTTCACACTTATCTACTACACATCTTCTGCATACACTAAAACTGGTCAGATTACACTTACATATTTTTTCTTATCAATTTATTAAAAAAATAGCCAAAAAATCGTTTTAATCTGATTTATGGATCTGACAAAAGAGCTTACAAAACTTTACAGCTAACTTGAGAAATTTTACAAACATTTTTATTATAATATCTAATTACAGTGCATTCTCTCTTTTCCTTGTCAAAAACAAAACAGAACAAAACAAAACAAACCCAACTTTTACAAAGTGGTTTTACTTTCCTACCTCTAGTATTAACTTATGTTTGTTCTGCATGACAAAACAGTGCATGGATTACTGTGGTGCTCTGATTTAGAGTATATCATTTTACCTACCTGTGCAAGTGAAGTTTTTAGGGAACTTGATCCATAGTGCACATCTTCATTAAGCCCCAGTTCAACCAATTACTCATGCATTTACCAATCAATAAATAAGTTTTCCCCTCAGAATAAATTAAATAGCTTGAGTGTCTAAGTTGTGTTGCCTAAAGCTGTAATGAGGTCATTTGCCTGGAGAAATGCAAGTTGGAACGCCTCGCTATTTCTGTTTGCATGAGTTCAGATCTCCTAGTGGTACTAGCAAAAAAATACTAGCCAAAGACTCAAGCCAGAATAAGCAAAGCAAAAATGCATCCGATATTATAGGATGCTGCCTTTTCTTCCTTGTGGGATACTGCACTGCTCAGCCAAGGCCTTGGTCCCGATAGCTCTGCTTATGGGGAAATTCACTTCAGATTAAAGAGCCTGTGAACTTTAGCAGGCAGACATATGTTCACCAGACAATTTGCTCTACCAAAATTTAAATTTTTTTGCTGTTGTCACAGTAACTGTCATGTAGTTAAGCCATTGCTGATACATAGGAGAGAGATCAGACTTCTACCATAAGGATTATCAACGTAGCTACTGTCAGAGATACCAGAACCACTTTCTTCAAACATACAGGGAATGACTTTTTTTCCAGCAGAGATCTGGGAGAAGGGGAGGAGGGGAGAGTTGGAAAGATCCTTGAAACTGGAATGTAACTTCCAATAATGACTTACAGATGTCTGAGTAATGTTCTAAGATCTTCCTATTAGTCCAATGCTATTATTTGTAACATATGCAGAATGAAAGCCCCTTGCATAAAGCTGTAAACAAACTTCTTGACTGAACTAGTTGTGGCTCAGCCAACTTCAGCCCTGGGGGCAGGGAGGTGCAAAGGGGGTAAAAGAGGCCTCATTTTTTAGTATCACGCTCAGGTTTTCTTACAATTTTGCCATTACTTTAGAGATGGGACGTCTTTACTGTATAGGTTCCAAATCACCACACAAAATTACCGGAAATGCCGGTGATAAAGCAAGTAAAACCACACCCAGTATAACAGGAGAGAGATTTGAATTCAGACATGCAAGAGTAATGAGAAAAGATGAGAGTTTTCACTTAGAATATATGCAATTCACTGCCAAAAGGAAAAAGCATCCAAGTTGGGCAGCTCATATATACTGAGTAGAATTTATGTTTAAGTGTATCCAGCTTTCACAGTAAATAGCACAGCATATAATTAATCATATTCCAGCAGTAAATATTAAGATCAAATGCTGAATATCTCATTTACTCCAAAGCACTTTCAAGGTTTCAATTTCAGAGAGTCTCATTCAAAGCAGCTGTTTAATAAAAATTTGTATAAATTAAAATCAACATTTGATCTTCATGCTGGTTCTTAATTATCAGATAAAACTCTTAACAGTGTGTCTGATGTAAAAGCAGGGGCACACTGGAGGTGATGTGTTTCCTTTACTGATGAAAATAAGTTGTTTACAGTGTCTGACACCATATGCACTTCAGGATCAGAGACAATTTGGTTGCATCAATTAGATTTTCGTTAGAATGCCAATCAGCAATTTTTACCAGCAAAAAGACACTAGAGTGTTCGTGGAAGCATCAACTGTGTCTGGCACCAAGATTTGCTGGAAGGGGAGCAAATCTGGAAAGAAGAGCACACCTGGAGTCTCCCACACCCTGTGGTGGAGGTTAGCAGTCGGTGCCGATTACTCACTCCCTTTCCCAGTCCCAAGCAGTCAGGTGTCCCTGGCAGTGCCCTGCTCTGTGGAGGGACACAGGCCTCCTGCCGGGGGGAGGGAGAGCTCTGGCTCCTCCCCAGCTCTGTGGGAGCCAGCAGAGCCACTGTACCTGACGTACTCAAGCTACATGGATGTCCCTAACACTGCAACAGCAGTTTTTAGCCCTTAGTACTCCTACAAGCTAGTGCAATGTAGGAGGTTGATCTGGACTTTTCTTACATCCTACAACTTAGGAAACACCTGCAGATTCCCCCTAAAACTAGTAGGTGTCGGGGCACCACAAGGATCTCCTTTTACATCACAGGGGAATTACTGCCATAGGGGTACCATTGCTGCGCTGGATCAGCTGGGGCAGAGCTTTGTCCTTGGCCACAGCTGCTTCATAAAACTTCATGGTGTTTTGCCAGAAGTCGTTGGGTGACACCTGCCTCAGGCAGAGATTATTCTAGCCCCTGTGTGTCAGTAGCATAAGTATTTGTTTCTTCTCTAAAATACTTAATTATTTACTTAACAGTATGTCAAATCTTAGTAAGCCTGGGTTTTAGTTTTGTTTTGTTGGATTGTTTTCCATTGTCAACTCTTTCTCTAGATCCCAGTAAACTCTAGATATCAAACCGTATCCTCAAATAATGATTTCCCCTAGGAGAATATGCATTGCATGACAAAACTTCCTTTCAATTTTGCAGGCAAAACATTTCAGTTTCATGACTATCTTATTCACTGTGGTTTGGAAGATAAGGTGAATAGCCATTCCTGCTCTAACTTATTAACATTTGCTATCACTGTTTAAAACATTAGATGTGTCATGGTACAGCTTATTTATCTAGGTTATATAATTATCTTAATTGGAGTTTTTCACCTCTCTCAATTTAAACCTTTTGGGAGTTTTTAATCACTTCTTTTGACCAAACTAATTTAGCCTGATGTAATTTGGGGAGAGAAAGACGTTTCAGCAGCAGGAATCTGTGACAGATACTCTTGTTTTTTCTGCTCCTGTTGAATTCCCAGCACACAAAGATGAGACGCAGGGAAAGCCCTTTGCGTGAGTGGACACGGAATTGAGGATGCCTTGCAAGCATCAGCACTGGGCTTTCTGTATTCATAGACGTCAAACAGACAAATAACAATATATCTATAATTTTACTTAGAGGCAAAACATTTTGCCCAACAATAACAGAAGACAGTTTCTCTCTGTATTAACAAGAAGTAGCAATGCAGAAAAGTGAAATGCTTCCAGCACTGAGGTTAATCATTTTAGGGCATGTCCAATAGCCCTTGTTGGAAATCTTGCACAAATGAGGACTGGCATTTGCCAAAATTTTTCGTCATGAGGGAAAACTGAAAGAATTTAAAACTATTTAAAATTAATGGAAAAATATATGGCACATTAAAAGTTTTACAGAATATGTGTTCAAAAGAGCATCAACACAATACAATTTAGGTTTCCCAAGAGCCTCAAAAAAAGAGAAAGTATTGAATAGGCCTTTATTCATATTTCATGAACTATCAGAATTATTTATGTTCCTACATAATTTTGGAGAAAGCTCCAGCTAACTGATCACCACCTGAGAAATTTACATGTTCTGTGCAAAGTCATACAGACAAGACAAGATTGCTTCAGGTTATAAAACATGCTTTCGTCCTCAGATCCTCACTACAGGACAATAAGACCTGAACACAGGCAGATTTTGCACAGAAAAACCAGTCTGAGATTCCTCTCAGTGTTTCATTTTTATTGGTAGCGTGGCCGATGAGCAGGTGCTTATTCTGCAAGTACAAGCTGTCATAATCCTTACATTTACAAACTGCTGCAGCTGTAATGAAGCTCATTCCTAGCTCTGTTCATCCCATCTATCAACACTTCCCACTTCTCAAAATTTACCATTAACGCACCTAGTACAAAGTGTTCATAGAATATCTTAAGTATCCTCAATCAGCTCCTCAATCCATCTATTCAACTGCCTATAAATATATTTGTTCAGAAGTATGACTGTAGTTTACAATTATGCAGCTTTAAAATTAATGAGATGCAATATGAAACAGTAAATCACATTTTTCACTTGTTTATATTTTCCTAGATCATAATTTGAGTAGAGAGAAAGAGGGAACAAGATAGAAACCTGAATTACAGTTAGCAATATAAATACTTTCATTAAAAACATCAGTAATCACATAAACATTATACCTATGGATCTGTACATGTGCATTTATTTTTCTTCATTCTAAGCAGTGCAACGTCTCAGTTATGTCAGGATTATGCAAACAGAAAGGAAGAGTACTTGCCATACTACTGAAGTAACTGCTGTCTCTGTTCTGTGGCAGCCACAGAAAAATCTCTGTGGAAATGCAAACAAACAAAAAAATTCTATCTCCTTTCCAACAATTTGTAAATTATGTTGCAACTGCAATTCCAGAAAATATGTTTTAAAAGACAGTAATTAATTTATTATTCTACTATAAACCTATCTGCACTGCCAGCCTGAGATTTTAGCTTGATAGAGACTGATACTTCCATTTCTGATTAACTTCTTTCCTTTTAACATGTAATTCTAAAATAAATAGTTTTATATTACTAAACTGACCTTTGTTTCCCTTTCAGCAGTCCGCCTATAAGAAGAAACAGAACAACAGGACCTGAAATAGTGTAAGGTACTTCATTAATTAAAAAAGGTTTCATAAAGCAAGTTTTACCATGGTAAATCTTCTTGGAGGTTATTTCTTCTTTAGTGAAGAGGCAGATATAGTTCATAATTATTCATTTTTAATTTTTGATTAGTGAAGTCAAGAGCTGTGGTGCCTCCTGAGAGCTGTAAGAAATCCTAGGTTTGATCCAGCTCTTATTAACTTTAACAAAAGCTCCAGTTTTCCCTTGATATCTCCACTGTACTACAGGCAAACAGTGCTTTTAATTTCTTTTCTTCTACCCTTTCACAGATCATATATTTTTTGTAATGAAATAAAAAAAAAAAAACTCTACTTAATATAGGAATATATCCTCAATCACTTTTTGAGATTATTGATTTTAATGACTAAGTTGATTAATTGGATTAATTAAATACTTGAATAAATACAGAGCACTTACAACTTCCACTGAATTACGGGGGTTTAGATCTATTTTAGGACTAAACTCTCAACACAACATTATTTTACAATACGGCTGTAATTTTATCTGCCACTCACACAGCACAAGAACCTACAGAAATAACTGAAAATATGCAAAGTACCTGGATGTATGTTTTCCTCCAATATAGACATCATACACATTGTATTCATAATACTTTGTACAAAAAGTACAGTGGGATTTCTCCCGCATGCGGCACTTCTTACAAGCAGAGAATGCTAAAAGGTCACACTGTTAATGAGTTAAGTAATTTCTCTGCATTTCGAACATTCCAGTGCTGGATGGATACCACAGTTTGTAGCAATCACCTGGAAAAGGTATAGGAAGAAATGAAAATAAGTTGCACAGTTTTTGTTACTCAAAGGCAGAAAAGCTGTCCAGAACAATTTGCTGTTAATGGCTGTTTTAGCTCAAAAGAGGCCCTGAAGTGAAGAATAAACAAACTGTCACAGGAACAGAGAGTAAGTCTCTTAAGATCAGAGTTAAGGTTCATTGGTACAATTGCTCTAAGGCAAAACATTACTGCATCTTGGATTAATCTTGGCATGTAGATAAATATAAAGGTACAGCACTAATGCACATATGCCTTTTTTGAAACCCTTGCACGTGCAATACAGCCAAATGCATAATGCAAAATATAGCGTCCTGTGAAAATGAAATGGGAATTCTAAATATGCTGAAACAGAGGTTTAGAAATTCAGGAACTAGATAATAATAAACAAAAGTTAGATAAACAGGCTCTGCTGTCAGTCTTGCACAAGTTGGATTATCCTTGTTTAAGCTAAAACAGACTCCAGCCAGCCATCTATCTCAAAAAACTAGTTTTCCCATCTACAACTTGCCTTCAGCTTTTTTCTCCCCCACAAAGCCTCAACATTTTATTTTTTTAAAAAGATTATTTTAACATATTTTGACCCTCCCATGAAGAAAACCAGATATGCACAGTGCAATTCCATGCTGCAGGGATTAGTCTTCCACATTTATTTAAGTATTATTATATCACTGGAAAATCCTTCAGGTTTGCATTTGTTAAAAAAAAAAAAAAAGTTGTGCCTAAATCCTCTTCTCGTCCCTTTCATCATTATTTGTTCTCCACGAGTACCAGAGCCGTGAATTTAGCCCCCCTCTCTCTCACTCCCAGAAATAAGCCTCTCCATACACTCCCCTGCCCATTCCAGCTAAAGGCATTTCAGCTTTTGGAGCTGGGTCAGAAGTATCAGCACTCAGGCTGAAGTCTCAAGCCAAGCAGTCTGTTCTCCTTTGCCACATTCAAAGCTTCCCTTTAGGGGAGCGGGAATTGCCCAGCTTCAGGCAGTGGCTAGGGACATGAAGGAATTCTGACAGTCCTCACTGTAAGAGTAGGATGCAGCAAGGACCTCACCTCCTGCAGTGTGAGGTTCTCCATTCCCTTTGCTACAGAGCTGTCACCACACCTCAACTCCTGCAAAAGTCACATATTGCCACACTGATATAGTGATAAACATTTCCCACCAGCAAGGGACTGTTCCTATTACAAGAACAGCGCTGCATGTCCACTGCTTGTCCTTCCTCATTCATTTGCATTACATAGCTGAGATAAGAGGATGAAGGAGGGAAAGCCATTCTTCTGATGGCAAGCATCTGCATCCCAGTGCAGCATTGTGTTATCCTTCCTGCTCCCTAGTAAATAATGCTGGCCAGCATTATCTATTAGAGCAAGAGCAGTAACAGTCTACAGGATTCCAAGGACTGGGCTGCTCACTTACTAAGCCTCTCCATTTGCTGATACACTGCTCCCTTCACAAGCTCCTTGGCATAGAGAGGTGGAATATTCCCATTGGCCTCCAATATTAGTTCTTTTTTCCATTATGGTATTTCAGCAACTGTTGTACTCTCCAGGACTTCTCTGGCCTGAAACAAAGTTAGAATCAGCACTGGTAATAGAGGATCTCCCTGGCCAAGGTCTAATATTGTTAAACTGTCCTTAACATAATGTGCCTGTAGACACTAACAGCAAAAGCTGCTGCTGACATGCACAGAGGGAAGAGTATTTAGCAATGGAAGAAAGTCAAGCAGGCCTTGGATGAGTTTTCCATAGAAGTGGATGCAGAATGCATAGGCAGAAACAGCAGGGCAAGTTCCTTGCAGAAGGATAGAGGCTTTGGAGAGGACTTTGTGCTTGTGAAATCAGTCACCAGTCTCGGGCCAAGAGCTTGTGTACACGGTTTCATAGCAGCTTCTCTGCCAGCTTCAGTACCAGTGGCACTGCTCTCAAGCACCAGCATCCACATGCTCAGCTTCAAGCCGCTTCACACAAGCAGTTATAGGAACTGCTTAAATCTGGGAATGGCAAAGAAGTGGAAGAAAGCCACTATCAATGGGACTGACTTTCATTAATCTAATTATCAGTGGCTCACATAATTTCACTATAGCTAGTTTAGCTGTTTTGAGCACATCTACATACAGCTCTTTTTAATTGGCATTACAGGTGAGTTCTTTTCTCTGTACATGAACAAGTAGTTAGGGTTAAAATGGTTTAGCTTGTATTGAATAGTTTATGACTTGGTTTGTGTTTGAAATACATTGCTGTATGCGTTCTGCACATGCAGAAGAGCCAAGGAACAGATTACTAATCTTTAAAAAACTTGCAAAATGTCACAATCACCTAAAGCTAAAGCCATATTAACCCTATAAAACATATGGACACTTAACACTTAAAAATCTCACTAAACCTATAAATGTATAAAGCTTGTGACAAATTAACTGATCTATGTATGATAAAATCTAATTTAAAATTTATTAAAATTGTTCAAACCATTATAGCTTCACTCAAAAACTCACTTCCTATGTCACTTCGATGTAGGTATGCAGGGTATATCTTAAATCCCACCTGTCTTCAGCCAGCCCCAGGGACAATGGAGCTTTCTGGTTGCCCATATCAGCTCCCTAAACAAGCAGGCTCCTGAAAACACCCCATATAAAAACACCTTTGTGTTGACAGTGCAGAATTTTTAGCTTAATCTAATTGGGGGCCCTGGATTTTTGTCACCACTATCAACCTTCACCCAGTTCAACAAAATCACCCTCTAGCCATTGTCAAACATTTACAGCCAGTTCTACTGTGCCTGGCCTTCTGATGTTAAAGAAGTTCCATTTATTGAGCAATGGCAATAGTGAGGAACCTCCCTCCCAAAAAAAGTAATGACATGTAAGCAGCAAGGTCACTAGAAACAAGTTTTTTAAACAGGCTGTTAATCTCCTAAAGACTCTGGAAGTGTGCAACTTGACTTTTCTGAATTTATTATATTGGCATCCACAACTGTGTATTGAGCTAGGCCACAGACTGCAAAAATAAGGAGTAACATTTTCTTGGAATTGATGTCTGCATTTCTTCTTTGTAGAGGACCGAGTGGGAGCAGGTATGCCATCTACACAACATGTATCAGTTCAAAAAGCCTAACCCCTAAAAATAATTTAATAACTCTTATCTTCATGAATTTTGAGGACACACATCATTAATCACTTAACAGACTCCATGGTCCTAGTACAAAAAACTGAACTGCCAGGACAAGTTTAATTTTGATTTATACTTGTATTTTTAAACTTAAATTTGTAATCTACAGAAGATAAATCAGCCTGTGATAGCCACCCACCAGCAGGTTAGTGTCAGGGAACAGGAGCTGGCTGCTCCACCAGGCAGGGTAAGCACAGAGCCAGCGGTGACGTTGGCCTCACCCGCACAGTCCCCATCCCAAAGTCCCAGGTGAGCAGAGGGGGTCTCACAGCAGCAAGCAGGGTCAGCTGATAGTCCAGTGATTGTCAGACAAGCTTGCGGTGACCAAGCAGGTCCCAGCCAAGCCAGGAAGCCAGCTAGCAGGGGCATGGCCAGGCAAGGGATAAGTACTGCATAGCTCAGGGGAGGGCATGGACCTGAGGCAAAAGAGGGGGATCCTAAGGATGGCCCTCACAGCCCCGTCTCACACTGCTCTCTCCCCAGCAGTCTCATTCAAGGCTACACAGCTGCACCGTGTCAGGGCAGGAGCCAAACCACTCCCAGGAGAGGAGAAAGGACTGCCCAGCCTGTTGGTGCACTCAGGGTCCTGACAGCCGGGGAAGCTCCTTATTCAGCCCATGGTGGTAGTTCCTGGATGCTCCGCTGTTGGTTGTCCCAGATGTGTACAACAACATGGTTTCAGCCCATCCCAAATGTGATAGTTCCAATGTGTATGAACAGTGCCATGCTACTGTAAAGACCAATGGTCAAAGTTTTGCCTCTCAAATGCTGTTTCAGCAACATATACAAACTAAAATTAGTCCTATAATTCTAAGAAAATAAAAGAAAAAGTAAAAAAACTCCCAACAGCAAGCATATCCCTCCCTCACATTGTCTCACAGGGATAACCAGTTCACTGGGGCAGAGACTCCCCTGAATGCCCCGGTGGTTCTGTTTCTGGCAGCATAGAGGTTGCTGCAAATTACTACCACCCTCTGCAACACAGTGGTTCCTTTGCCCTGGCTTCTCAGTATGGCAGCTTGGAATCAGAATCTGAT